ATGAAGTAGGAATGATATTACTTTGAAGTGAAAATAAATATTTTTTTCATAAAAAAGGGGATTTTTCTCAGAAAATTGGGCATAATTTCTTAATGCTAACCGCCGAGTGACATTTTCCACAGCCAAATCGAAGATTAATTACTAGTGAATAATTCCATGTGCAAACAATAGCCGTCTGGATCCTATAACGTCGCCCGAAAAGGTCCAGAAGTTTACTGATTGATCGAAAACTTGTTGTGCATAATTGTTTTTCATGGTCAGTTTCTATTATTTCATCTTGATATTGTCATTTTTGGACAAGCAAGTCATCAAGGATTCAGGAAAACAGTTTGGCACAGGCTTGCTTTAAGAACTTTACATTCAGTGAAGTGTTTAAAATGTTACTAACGAATACGATTTTTCGCCGAACATTTCGTTTACGCGCCATGTTGGATTTTTCTATATGACAAAAATAAGCGTTTTAAACTTCACCGTTATTTTTAGTATTTTACTCGTGAAAACATTATTGAGTAAACAAGCGGCGGGACGAAATACATATTGTTCAAAATAAACAGAGCCTCTACTAAAAAACAGGTATCTCCTAAAAATACGGTTGAAGTCATAAAAATATATTGAAAAACGAGAACAAATTGCATAATCCCTATTCAACCTAAACAGTATTTGAAACTAGTATGGAGTAGGTCCTCCATTTGCTAGTTTCAGTGCTAGTATTCGATTTTTCATGGTGTGACACTATTTAGGGTTGCGTGAAAAAAAAAGAAAAAAAAAGGCGAGAATTAAATTAGGTGATAAGAATCTATCACGAAAAGACGATGTTATTTTTTTTCTAACAAGGAAAAGTGGTAAAGATTTTTATTCTCATTAGCGAAGAAAGTAAGGTCGCGGATCTGTCGCGTTTGATTTATGACGGCGCACCGAGTATGGCAATGGTGAAAATTTCAGGTCGGTCAGGTGGCCTACAGGGCAGAATTCTAAGAGATAAAAATTAATTGGGCCGCGAAAAACAAAAATATCCATTGGAGCAACCGCAGAGTTACAAAGAAAGAAAGACTGACCCATTAGCTATCTACGGAGATGTCGTTTGGAAAAGGCACCTGTTTTGTGTCAAGAGCTGGCCATGATAGCAAAATTATTTTATCAAAACGAATAATTGGCTGTGGATATCGCCAGATGACCACCCACTTGTTTGACGAAGGTCTCGATTGATAAAGTCCAGGTGACATTCGGTTAAGATAAGAGTCTAAGGATTTGTTGTCGAGAAGAAGAAAAAGAAGAAAAGAAAAAGAAAAAGGAAGATATTTTTTTTCTTTGAGCAAGATTTTTAAACCGAAGCTAGTCCGGCCACATCCACGCCGCTGAGCGCCCATTGGATGAATGGTAGCGTGAGCGGTAGGCGAAGGTAATTATGTGAAGAAGGAAGGGAGGCCTGTTGAAGTGGCATCTCATACCGATCCTCTGAAGGATCGGTATGATATGACACTGTGAGAGAGAGGGGAAACCCGTTGACACCCTCTGAGGGTATGGGTGAGATACCAATATGAGAAAGGAAGAATTTGGGAGGACGAAAGTCTTCCAAAAATGGAAATTAATAATTCTTCCTGACCGAGAACAAAGAAAAACCCTTAATGCGGATTTAGAATTATCAAGGAACTTCAAACCCCGACAGGCCCACCCCGGTTTTGGTCGGCGTCCATATAAGCAGTGGGAGTTAGCAGTTCGCAGCTGAGCAGTTGGGGTTAGACAGACAGGCAAGCAGTTGCAGTGAGCTGAGAGCTCTGAGGACCCGCCTCGCAGGAAGCTGACTTAAGATTCGCGCATTCTCGACCTCAACTTCTAATCAAGAAAAATTTATTTTTGAAGAACGACTTAGACTCACACCACCAAAACAAGTTTTACGAATATCGCCTGAAAATACACCAAGAACCAGTTTCTTAAAGAACAAACAACTTAAGATGTTAAGACTCGCCTAACAAACACAAAGTGTCACGAATCCATATAGCGGGTTGGGAGGAAGAATCAGTCCTGTATTCAGAAAACAGATATAAAATATTGTTATCCTTTTTTAACACATTTGAACTTTTCGAGTTAATACTTTATTTTCTTTTACATATACTTGTGCGGTGTTACACTTGTTCGGACTCGACTTGCATTAAGGCCCGGGGACTGATTGATTTCGTCTACCTAAGATCAAATCACAACGTGGGTAGGTTAGACTAGAAATCAAAACAGTTACTTCGGTAACCAGACGTTGGAGGCGAGCTGGGAACAACAAGGCTGATACCGAATCTAACCAGATTCCCATCCGAATCAGCAAAAGGTTAGAACGTCACGTTTAGTGCCGCGACCAATACCAAGTCACATTGGTCGTCGCAGGACAGGATAGGACGGCGGGCGCGACAGGCAGACGTCACGATTGGCGGAGCGACACCGTGGGACGTCACAATGGATATGATCAAGTTATCAACAATCGCCTGATCCATATTTTGCCACTCCTTTAGCAATATCTCTTTAAGGGTTGCCACTGACGTGATTTTGGTTGCACGCTCTCGAAGTCTTCGGTTATGGTGCTCCCAAACGTGCTCTATTGGATTCATGTCAGGACTTTGGGTTATCCATGGCAGTAACTTGATTCCTTGCGATTCCTTCCAGCCCTTTGCTACTTTGCTCGTATGACATGGCGCTCCATCTTCTTGAAAAAAGTAGACATTCTTGTCAATCTGACTGGTTCCAAATACTGGGAGTAGTCCTTTCTCTAATATTTGACAGTATTTTGAACCATTCAACCGCTCGTCAACAAGAATCAGCTCAGATTTCCCTCCAAATCAGACAGCGCCCTACGCCATTACTCTAATCCCTTCATGTTTCACCGTCGCCTGCAGACATTCAGTGTTCTAAGTCTCATTCTGATTTCTTCAAACATAAACCAATCTCGAATTAGAATATTGGCAGAATTTACTTTCATCTGACCAAATTACAGACTGCCAAAATTCATAATCTTTACTCTCGAGTTCTATCGCCCAGTCCATACGCCTGTTTCTGTTAACCTCTTGAATCAAGGGCTTCTTTCTTGCAACTCATCTTTGATAGCCTAGCTCTTTCGGAGTATTTCTCACCGCATATGGCGGCATTTCCATGCTGTTGACGAAATCTATGACGCTCTGACTACGGTTTCTGATGACTTCCCTATTCAGCGCCATTTTCGTTCGCTCAGACACGATGCTTGGCCTTCCTTAACGTTGTTCCACACGACAATGGCCTTCATTAAATTTCTTGAGAATATTATTAACCATTTGATGATTAACCTGGGAAAACCTAGCAATTTCTCTATTTGACTTGCTACACTGATATCATCCTATTATGTGTCCTTGTTGAAATTCACCAATGTCCTTACTTCCACGATCTTCCATTGCAAGATTGCTATACTATTATTGTTCATAGATGAGGGTAGCTTGATACTAACATGGTATTGTCTGAAAAAAAAAAGAAGAGACTTTATTAAACAAGCCAAAATTGCTGTAATCAATGGTGGCTAAAAACTTATAGCGTACTGTACAATCACCCAAGAAGTCACTACGAAAACGAAATTCCCTTTTCGTAAGGGGTGACAAGATATTCAGACCGCCCTGTAGATTTTAGACGTAAACGTGTCTCGTTACCTTTTAGGGATCATTTTGGTCTTCAGCGTACCTCATGTCGCATTGAATATAATACAGAATAATACCTATGTAAGCATAATTGAAGATACTTAATAATTCTACTTAACATATAGAGAACTCCTCTCAAATGCAAGTAGCTCATGAACTTTCATAAGAACTTCATACGTCCATTACGGACATATCTACATAAACAGCTTAATTACTTCCTTTTGTATTCATTCTATTTTGTTTTCTCGGGTAACGAAATATATTAACTCTACGCAGCTGTTCGTATATTCATTCTTATTCTCTTGTTTCGAGAAAAAATACCAAATCCTCTACAGTAGAACCTCGGATCACGAATCTAATTCGTTTCTGAAGCCCGTTCGTAACCCGAAATGTTCGTAAACCGAAACTATTTTTCCAAGAGGAAATCAATGTAAAATGGATTAATCCGTTCCTGGTCCCATGATGAAGCTTTAACAACAGTACCTTGTGCTCAAGTTTATACACAAAACTGATGAAAATCGTTAAATCTAAGAAATAAATAAATAAACCCAATACTAATGAGATAAAATATAGACAAACACTTCAATTTTACCGTATCTATTAGCAGGAGAGTTGATGACGTAAGGGCAAGGGAAAGGAAAAAAGAGATGTTATTTGGAAAAAGGAAGGAAAGACATGATCATCTATTTGTATGAATAGTAAAGATCATTAATGTTAGCACCTCGAGACGGTGTAATGGTTAGCACGAACAATTACGAGTGAGTACGACCCTCAATGGGTAGCCCATACTTTCAGCCTTGTGCCCCATGTAAGCCTTGCTTGGAAAATCGCTATAGATCGTTGATTCTTGCCATATTAAACTGAATAGGTCCAGACAATATTATGAATAATTGTTTTTTTTCTTGACTTTTCTTTTTCCTTTACCAGTATCACTGCTAGCTTTCTTTGACTGTTGACTAATGAAGAAGGAAAAAAAAAAGGCATAGTACAATAAAATTGGTAAAGAAAAGCACAGCGCAACACACGATACAAAACGGCGGTCGACTGAGAAATAATTCCGTTCGGGTTAACTCGGTTCGGCTCGGAGGGTCTCGGTTCGGGTCGGTACGGATCGGATCGGGTCGGTACGGATCGGTTCGGGTCGGTACGGATCGGTTCGGGTCGGTACGGAAGGGTTCGGCTATATTGTTCGAGAACCGGAAATTTTGTTTGATAACCGAGGCATTTTCATCTCGAATTTTCTGTTCGAAAACCGATTTGTTCGACATGTGAGACACTCGAGTACCGAGGTTGCTCTGTACTATATTGAAATATATTTCTCAATAAATGATTCAAATTCGAAATTAAAAACGAAATATGTTTTTTGCTAGACATCTATGTTCTTCTTGCCTCTGGTACTATCTATCAGGAGACTCTTTGAAACTTTGTAAAGCCATACGAATATTATTCGCTTTATACGACGGTGTCGGTGATAAAAAACGACTTTAGAATTATCAAAATAATCAGACATAAGAGGCGTCATTTTGGGGGGTTCTGGAAAGTTGGGAAATATATTGAGATAATGATGAAAAGCACCGAGTCGTTCATTTTACTTTCTTTTGATGAAGTCGACGTTGAATTTTGGCATCAGATGTGAAAGACAAGAATAAATTCGATCTTTTACCAATATACGAGTACGTAAAATTGAGACAAGTGTTATTTATTTATTTATTACTTTATTTCTGTCCATATTTTCTTAATTCCATCTTTTTGTTTGTTTCTTTCTTAACTTCCTTTTATCAATTTTAACGTCCTTTTCTTTCTTTCTTTCTTTCTTTTTTTCTTTCTTAATTCCCTTTCTTTCAATTTTCTTTATTAACACCGTTTTCATTCTTTAATTTTCTTTCTTTTTTAACGTACTTTCATACTTGCTCTCTTCTTAACTCTTTTTTTTTCAATTTTCCTTATTAACGTCCTTTTTGTTTGTTTCTTTCTTTCTTTCATTCTTTATTTCTTTCTTAATTCCCTTTCTTTCAATTTTCTTTATTAAATCCCTTTTCTTTCTTTTCTTCATTCTCTCTTTTTTGTTAACGTAGTTTAATTCTTCCTCTTTTCTTAACTCCTTTATTGAGTTTTCTTTATTGGTATACGTTTCTTTCTTTCTTTCTTTCATTCATCCATTTTTCTTTCTTTCTTTTTTTCTTAATTCGCTTTCTTTCAATTTTCCTTATCAACGCTCTTTTCATCTTTCTTTCTTTCTTTGTTTCTTTTTCTTTTTTCTTTCTTTCTTAATTCCATTTATTTTAATTTTCTTTATTTACACCCTTTTATTTCTTTACTTCTTTCTTTCTTTTTATTTCTTAACGTACTTTGATTCTTTCTTTCTTTCTTTCTTAACTCCTCCTTTTTCAATTTTCTTTATTAACTTCGTTTTCTTTCATTCTTTCTATCTTGCTTTCTTTCTTTCTTTTTCTTTTTCTTTCTTTCTTTCTTTCTTTCTTAATTCCATTTATTTCAATTTTCTTTACCCACGCCCTTTTCTTTCTTTCTTTCTTTCTTTCTTTCTTTCTTTCTTTCTTTCTTTCTTTCTTTCTTTCTTTCTTTCTTTCTATTTCTTAACGTAATTTGATTCTTCCTTTCTTTCTTAACTCCTCCTTTTTCAATTTTCTTTATTAACTTCGTTTTCTTTCATTCTTTCTATCTATCTATCTTGCTTTCTTTCTTTCTTTCTTTCTTTCTTTCTTTTTCTTTCTTTCTTTCTTTCTTTCTTTCTTTCTTTCTTCCATTTATTTCAATTTTCTTTACCCACGCCCTTTTCTTTCTTTCTTTCTTTCTTTCTTTCTTTCTTTCTTTCTGTTTCTTAACGTACTTTGATTCTTCCTTTCTTTCTTAGCTCCTCATTTTTCAATATTATTTATTGCTTTTTTTACCGCCCTTTCTTTCTTTCTTTCTTTCTTTCTTTCTTTCTTTCTTTCTTTCTTTCTTTCTTTCTTTCTTAAGGTCCCTTCTTTGTTTCTTCTTTTTTTTTTTTTTCGTTAAATGTAAAAGATGTGAGGGGAATGATTCTTTTGTGCACACCAGTTAAGCCGGGCGGAAGGTGGAGGTCACCTACACAGAAAATCAGTTTCAAATTTCTTTCTTATCTACCTTGGCCTTCCAAACCAGACAGCACCCCACACCATTACTCAAATCCCTCCACATTTCACGGTCGCCTGCAGACATTCAGTGTTCCACGTCTCATTCTGAACACCAACCTCATCCACATGTCTGAAATATGAAACATTTTTTTATGAGTGCAAAACAGTTGCTAACTTTTATGAGATTATATCGATAAGACCTTAGACAACCTCGGAGTTGTTTGCTGATTGTTGATGTGAAATTCTCTCTGAATAATATTCGACATGCATTATTATATCTCACAACTTAATTAAGTGCATTAAAAAGGAGAAGATTATGTTGAAAGAATAAATACGTTTGTAAAATAATTTTTGAAGATTGTAGTTGACATGAAAGCAGGAAGCCGGAAGATAGTCCTACAAGAAACTGTTAGCATAGAAATTATTGTTAAAACTAGCAATTTCAGCATTGGATTAATTAGACATAACTGCTAATCTACTATTGCAAATAAATCGTACCAAAGACAAAAGTTTATCAGAACAATTACCGTGAAAATTTTATAAGCAGACACGGGGAAGCTACCTTAAGGCGGTAGAAAATTGACTGAAGCCGAGATGCCAGGTTAGGACTGATAATATTGCGATTCGTAGGATTTTGTCAAAAATATATAGTTTTATATTCGATAAAGCAGACCAGATGAGACAGCAATATTCAATGAATTATAAATGCGCAAGAGAGATTCTGGCGGGAAAAAATCATTTAGCACGATACAGTGAAACAACATTCCTTGCAGTAGATTTAGTAATTGATTCAAAATAATCTTTCAACTTCATGTCAGTATAAAACTATAGACCAGGAATGTGCGGTGAGTTTGGAGGTTAGCATCAGCCATGCTGATGGAAGGCATAAAAAGTTCTTTGAGATTATTAATAGTGAGCAGTTTCGTTAATGGAGGCTCATACATATATGTATGTAAGTTTGTATGTATCTGTCTATATTTCTGAGATGAGGTATTATGTACACTATTTACATTATTTGAACTATTGTCCTCATCTTTGTTGCTATATTTATCACAACGTTTCGGCTGTTGTACACTCCGCCCTACTTCATGTGGTTGGAATATCGAATTGAACCCTTTATTTCACTTGCTAGGGTAGACTGTTCTAGTCTACGTGGCATATATATATATATATAAATATATATAATTATTTTTATAAAAAAAAAATTTATAACATAAGTATGTTATAAAATCACTACAAAAATAGCCATTTTGTTTCAACACACTCTGTGTCTTATCAAGTGATGATGTTGAAAATAAAATAAATGGTTTTAAAAGTTTCAGATTAATTAACGATCCTACACTAGGGGGAAACATTGTTACAAAAGCTAGAATAACCAATCAAAAACGAAGTATAGAAAGATTCAAAAGCTTGACAACGAAATCCTGCTCTAATAGCTATTCAGATCTTTAAATACGTGTCATATTAAAAATAATTTATACTAACTAATAATTATAAATTTACATGATAAAATTTAATATTAAAATTAAAAACTGGCAATTTTTAAAAACCAAATTTAATCACTATTAAGTTTAAAAACTACAAAATTATTGAGAAAAGAAAAAATATATATGTTTATTCAATTCATTTCTTCATTGAAATTACGTTCGACAAGACCAGACGCTACAATACATCCGGTCATTTGATAATACATGTATATATATTTTTCTCTTTTTCCCTTTCTTTTCCGTTTTTATTTTAAAGTTTGTGAATATGGTCTTAAACCTTATATAAATATATATATATATATATATATATATATATATATATATATATATATATATATATATATATATGTTCGTAGCATTTTTAATAATGTGCTCAGTACAAAGTAGAGCAATATATTCTTATCATTTTTATTATAAGAGATTATAATAAAACACACGATGAAATCGCCACACAAAATCTTTCATGTTTCAATACTTTAATTGTACATCTTTAGGCATTGGTAAGTAACTGGTGATTAAATGATTTTTAAGAAAATTTAAAAACAAAGTGATACCTCTTTTCCGAAAGATGAAAGTGGGAACATAAGGTCAGAATTTAAAATATACTTGTGGGTATGTCTTGATTAACCAATTAAATAGAAACGGAAGTTCAGGGAGTGAAGGTAGGTGAGTTTTTTTCATGTCACGATAAACTGGAACATAGATATGTCAGCGACGGATGTATCGGGTTATCACGATACATTTGTCACTGACATATTTTCCGCAATCGTCAATGATGGCCTGTAGATGACGCTATGTTGCCATGCAGGATAGATTACATTTTACATTCGTGTACATTTGTGGCTAGTCAGTTTTTAACGCTTAACGTGTGTAGTAGTTAACTGAGAAGTGTTCCGCTTAACAATGGCAGTATATTCATATCGTGAGCAGGCAAATATATTTTTTTACATAAGTCCTCGCGGATGGTAATGGACGCGAGGCTGCACGGGTGTATCAAATTGCCTTTTTAAACCGAAGGCAGCCGAATCATCCAACCTTTGCTGCTGTTTATCGTTGCGTTGCTGAGACAGGATCCGTGGCACCATAAACTATGGATGGGGGAAGTCCGAGATTCGCTCGAAAGCCTGACCCCTAAGAAAGCATTCTACATGCTGTCGAAATCAATCCAGCTATCAGAACACGTCAAGTGGCCCTAGCATGTCGTACATTTCATAGTACCTCATGTAAGGTACTTCAAGAGCAGCTCCTGTATCCGTATCTTATGCCACATGTACAGTGTCTTTCGACTTCTGATCACTCACCACGGGATAATTTTTGCCGATGGTTTATTGCACAAACTGTCGATCCGTTGTTTGTCGCTTCAGTCTTGTTTACGGATGAGACAACATTCTCGGGATAGAGTAATACATTTACACAATAAATATTTATGGGCGGATCGGAATCCCCATGGTACAATACAGGCTAGACACCAGCATCAGTTTACAATTAATATGTGGGCTGGAATTATAGGTGATTGTCTGGTAGGTCCATATGTTCCCCCAGCACAAGGAGCTGTCTGCAAGGATTTTATTTCGAACACACTACTAGAGGATGTAACCCTGCTAATACGAAGATGGTTCATGCGTGATGGGGCTCCGTCACAATTTAGTTACATTGTTCGTAATGCACTGTCTGATATCTACCATGAAAAATCGATAGGTAAGGGAGAACCGTTTCCATGGCCTGCACATTCACCCGACCCCAATAATTTGGATTTTTATCTGTGGGGGCCGCTTAAAACAACTGGTTTATGCAGACGATATTAATAGTGCAAAGACGCTTCATCAACGTGTCATGGGGGTCTGAAAAACCATTCGACGACGTGTGAGAGTATTTCAAAGTGTCCACCAGTCAATGATCTGACGGGTGCATGCGTGTGAAGAAAGAAACATCGGACATTTTGAAATTTTTTACGAGTTGCTGCGTTGAGGTACAACGATGGTCTTTTGGTCATATGATCGTATGGACATTTTACCTTGTTTTGGTGTCAGGAACACACCTTCAATGTGTGTAAAAGAAGTTTTGGTTTTGAATATTACAATAAAAATAAGGACAACAGTCCGAACACTGTAAATATACACTATTTACAGTATTCTGACTGTTAGTTGCAATATCTCGTCTCAGAAATATAGACAGATATAGATATATTTAATATTATTTCACTATTAATATTTTATTACTAGTTTTAAGGTTTGTTTTTTTTTTGTTGCTTTTAAGGTTAAGCATTTTTTACTATGATCATTTTTAACTAGTCCCAAACTATTTTTTATATATATCGTCTTGTTTTTCTTATCACAAGACTCAGCTAGAAAGCAATAAATTATGTTGGAATAAAGTAATCATTAGATGTTTACATGTATTAATTACGGTCTTCATTTTAACAAAAATCATCAAGATTAATTCGCTTCTCTTGACCATTTCATAAAAGAAGGCAATGTCATTAATTAATAACGTATAATTAAAGAATGTTTTAATGATTTATAACGGAATGGAAATAAGATTTCGGTTCATTCAATCGACTCCCCCAGAGCGCTTTGATAAGGATTAATATCAACAGAAAAATAAATGAACAAGATGGTGCTCGTTATATGGAATTAAATATAAAAACAAAAAACATTAATGTGCTAAAAAGGAAAGGAAAAGGGAAACAAAGAAAATAAACAATGTTACCTTCTCCGAGCTCATTAACAAGTGAAAATGCCAAATAATTAACTTTGTTTAACTGGTTCTGATCACGAAAAACACATTCTACAGGCTGTCGGAGACGATTCAGGTAACTATTATCTCATAAAAGTTGTTTCACCCCTCTCTCTCTCTGCGCATTCTCTCATCCCCCCCTCGCTTTCTCCTTCCTATCTCTCCTCTAACTACTTTCCTCTCCTCCTCCTTTTTAGCCCTTCTCCATTTACCCCCTCCTTTTATCTCGCCTTCATTTCTCCTCCTACTTTTCCTGCCTCCTCCTTCCCCCTTTTATCGCTTCCTTCCCTCCATCTCGATATTTCCTCCTTTTATTTTCCTTCATCTTTTCCTTCTCTACCTTCCCTCTTCCCTCTTTCCTTCCTTCTATTCGTTTTCTTCTCTTCCTTCTCCCCATCATTGCTTTTTCTTCATGTCTTCCCTTCTCCTTTTTCTTATTCTTTCTCCTCTCTCTCTCTTTATGCCCTCCTCCGTCTTCTATCACCGCCACCCCCTTTATCACCCCCTTTCCTCATCCTCCTATCCTTTTCCTCCTCCTTTCTTTTCTTTTCCTTCTCCCTTCCTCCCTGTCTTCCCTGTTCCTTATCTGTTCCTCCATTTGCCCCTTCCTCCTCCATTTCTCCCTTCCTCTTCCTTTCTCTCCCGCTACGATCCTTCTACTCCTTATCTCAACTGTTCTTTTCCTGTTCCTCTCTACTCCTACCTTTCTCTCCTCCCACTTCCTTTCTTCGCCTCTACTTTTTCTCCTTCCTTCTTCTCCCTATCTCATCTACGTTCCTTCACTTCCTTCTTACTTTTCCTTCTCTTTCTTGTTTCCACCTTTCCTCCTCTACTCCCCCTTTTCCCTCTTTTCCTCCTCCTCCTCCTCCTCCTCGTTTTCCCAATGTTAGCTTATCAAATCTAAGATTCACTGGCCTCGTTATCTCTATGGTTTGATTACCTTCAAATATTCAGTTTTAGGGCGGGTGCGTGCTTTCATGAGAATAGTGACAGGTGCGTTTAACAACGCCACAGTGTTTACAAACGTCAACTTATTTCATCTAAGAAATTATGCGAAAAGTTAGCAATTTTTTTTCTGAAAATTTGACGGCACACAATCTTTATTATTTTATAGCTTAACGAGGACTACTCACCCTACCCTACGACTGTGATGTCACCTCCTGCCACTTCTGTACGGCAGAGTGCCAAGGCGCTACAAATGAGTGACGTTATTAGACTGCGATTGGAACCATTGTCACGTGACGAGGGGATGCGTAAAGAAAGATATATCAATATATTTTATCGATATATTTCACGTTGTTCGTCGTTGGTGTCGCTGAGGACACCCACAAGCAAAGAGCTATAGGAAATAAATACATACGTGAACTGAGGTCGAGAAATAGTCGCAATACAGGACAATTTCAGTTCTTAGCAGAGACTCCCCTTCTTTGAACCTTGAATCACAAACAAAGAACTATCAAATTCTTAACAGAACTTTTAAAAACGTTATGCAAAAGTGTTTGATAAACCGGTTTAAGGCTGATGAGTTAGGACTAATGAACCGGATAATTCTAGTTAGAGAGAACTGATAAACCGGGCTTTATCTGTTTTTTTTTTGTTTTGTTTTTTTTGCTAACCATGTACAGTGTAACCCAGATATAAGAGAGTTGTCGGGACCGGAGAAGAAGTCTCTTATATCCGGGTTTCTCTTATATGCGGGTCTCTTATATCCGGGTTACACTCTATTTCGTTTGGTCTATTTTATATACATTAACACAGGCTCTAATTTGGGACCAGAGAAAATCGCTCTTATATCCGGGTTTCTCTTATATGCGGGTCTCTTATATCCGGGTTACACTGTATTTCGTTTTTATTAGGTTGGTGCAAAAATAATGACGTAATAATGCCGTTTTTTGACGTTAAAAAAATACGTCAAAAAACGACATTATTACGTCATTATTTTTGCACCAACCTAATACCACTTGGCGGTAACGTTATATTTTGTTACCTATTGTTGTTATTTTTCTACTTGTTTTAAGATGTCCCTTTTTATCGTTCAAAAACATTCTTGTCCGAATGTCTTTGCATTTATTAATAAATAACTGATTGATTCGTTTTTTAACGGTTTATCAACCCTTTCCAGGTTATTTAAAGCCAGACAATATTTTTATATTGTAAGGATTTTTTTTTAAAGTTAGTAATGATTTAGTGTTACAAGTCTTTCTAATTAATCCATAGGTGGGGGAAAAGGTAGATTCATACCTTTCCCAATGGTATTTACGCTTAACCCAACTGGAATTGGAACTCTGCTCTCCGATTAACAATTCCGAGCCATTATTCATTATACCAACCGCACATCCATGCTTACAGAACCTGATATTCCCAAGTGGTCACCCATCTATGTACTGACCAGGCGCGACGTTGCTAAAGTTCGGTGATCGTACGGGAACTGGTGTTTCAACGTGATTTAGCCGTAAGTCACTGCTGGGACTGGTAGGTAAGCTTGATATATTTGGGAAAAGATATTAGAATAATCCAGAACTTGGGAGCAAATCGCTTCAAATGATTTCAGTAAATATACAAAAATATTAGGTTGGTGCAAAAATAATGACGCAATAATGTTTTCTGACGTGTTTTTTTAACGTCAAAAAACGACATTCTTACGTCATTATCTTTGCACCAACCTAATAGAAAGGGGTGTAAGACAAGGATGTGTCTTCTCGCCGGACTTATTAAACCTTTACAGGGAAAGAATTAGAATTCCCACCAGGGTTCATTAATGGCGGCAAAAATCTTAACAGCTTTAAATATGCAGATGCCACGCCGGACACGGAAAAGAAAACTGAAGAATGTAGTAAATTAAAGCAAGAAGAAATAATTAATAACTAATTGTAAGAAGATAGAATATATGGTTGTCAGCAAAAGGGACAGGCCGACTTGTAAATTACAAATTGGAGATGTCAAAATCAATCAAGTATTTTAATATCTGGGATGGACGGATAATACGACACAATGAATAAATAAATACTTTAAATAAATAAATACTTTAAATAAATAAATTAAATAAATAAATAAAATTAAATAAATAAAATAAAATAAAATAAAAATAAATAAAATAAAATAAATAAAATTAAATAAATAAAATTAAATAAATAAATTAAATAAAATGAAATAAATAAAATAAAATAAAATAAAAATAAATAAAATAAAATGAAATAAATAAAATAAATAAAATTAAATAAATAAATAAAATTAAATAAATTAAATAAATAAATACTTTAAATAAATAAATACTTTAAATAAATAACTACTTTAAATAAATAAATACTTTAAATATCTGGCAAGGACGCATAATACGACACAAGTTCAAAGGCGTATTGGGATATAAAAAGTCGCCTTACAAAAGCTATGCAAAGTATTAAGAAACGAGAAAATCTCGTGTGAAACAAAGAAAGGACTACTTAACAGTTATGCAGTATGAATCTTCCTGTATGGCAATGAATGGTGGACATGCTCCCCATGAAGATGAAGAAGAGACTTGAAGCAACAGAAATTTGGTTCTTCCGAAAAATGCTGAGAATACCATGAACTGAACATGTGAGCAAAATCGAAATTTTAGAGAAAATGGAAACAAAAATAGAACGATACAGTTCATATTTAAAGGAATCATAATGAGGAAAGAAAGCTTAGAAAGTTTGACACTAACAGGACATATTGAAGACAAGAAGGAAAGGTGAATGTGGCGCATTACCTTCCAGATGAACTTGTGTAGATCATTGGAAAAACGGCGATTTGGGGAGATAGCGAACAGACAAAATTAGCTAAAAGCTACAAAGAACATGAAAATATGAAGAACCATGATCGTTTACGTTCTGAGGGGACACGGCATATAGAATCGGTTTGGTTTGTTTTTGTTTAAAGGGCACATCAACTCCTTATGGGTCATTTAATGCTGGAAGTTTATTTTGAGAGCATTGGTATATTAATGTACTGCTAGTAACTCACACTCTTTGGGTCCTGTCACTGTATCTAACTAAGGCTTTATCCGTTGAGACGGTAAAGAACTTGGAGAGGGAAATTAACAGAAGATAACAGGCATCCATTAGACATGGTACCCAGAAAATAAAGGGTTCAGTTCGACATTCCAACCACCTGAAGAAGGCCGGAGCGTACAACGGCCGAAACGTTGTGATAAATGTGGCAACAAAGATGAGGATGTTAGTCCGAATAATGTACATAATACCTCATCTCAGAAATAGAGACAGATACATACAAACTTACATATATATATATATATATATATATATATACATACGTATATATATATATATATATATATATATATATATATATATATATATATATATATATATATATATATGTCATGGTCCGGTTCCTTGTACCACGGTGGTAGTCCAAGGCAGAACCAATAAAGAAGAACTTGAACACAGGTATGGAATCATCTGAAACGCATTTACATTATACAGACAAACCTCTCATCTACGGATCCCCCCACCCTCCATAGACGGACGAAATCTGCAGTGAAAATTTTTAAAAATTTCCAGGAAAAAAAATACTTCCAAATCATCAGTGATGCATTTCAAAATTTGCTGGCTTAGCGGAACGTATTGTATTAGTTCTCAAAGTGGCCGCTTGGCGGCGGTGGCTGGCCTTTCAATTGTAAACAAAGACAGGTGTACAGTATATAAAGTACGATCGACACATTAGCGCGTGTGCGAGAAAGTAGCTGTTAGAAATCTATCATTTTTGTTATTTTGATTAATATATCAATTGTTCAGCCCTCAACAAAGTATTTACATTATGATCATAACTATAGGGCTTTTATAACTCAAATGTAATCCCTTCCAATCTACGGACAATCAGCTTTAACGGACCTCCCCTCCCCCTCCCCCGCATTAGTCTGTTGAAGAGAAGTCTGTCTGTATATATTAACCGTATTCTATTAACAATGCTTGGTTTCATTCATGGTCAAAGACGATTTCTTTATTTCTGACTTCCAATGCATTTCTCTAGTAAAATCAAAAAACAATGAATTTCTATTAGATATACAGTAACGTGAATCTTCGCGTAACATTATTTTTAATTTCTGATGACTGAAAATCTATTTCTAATTTTCAATGTATTTCTATAGGAAGTCTTTATTACGGCTTTTTCTTTTGGTGACTTTCTTCTTTTGGTGGCTTTTTTCTTTTGGTGGTCATCATTCTAACTTATAGAGGTTTATAGCAGTTATACCATCTATGCTAATGATATCTCTATCTATAAAAGGCAGGATGTGTGTGTGTGTGTAACGAATGCACGGTCGCAATTTTCGACAGATTTGCACCAAAATTTACATGCAATTGCTCCGAGTTAGCGGAAAGGCCAAGACCGACTTTACATTTCCCAACTCTTATCGACAGTGGAAATAATCGATTTTTTCATGCTCCTACGGCACTTTTTATGTAGTTTGCGGCCATTTTCTACTGGCCAGAGTGAGAGCCTATAGCTGGCTGCCACAAATAGGCAGGAAGATTCTATTGGCCAGCGTGAGAGCCAACAGCTAACTGACACAATGTTAACTAGCATGCTAGCATGCAAAAAAAAAAAAAATCGATAGATTCGTCATAAGTCGGAAAAAATTTAATCTGCATGGCACTTTACTCCAATTGGCTCATTCGCTTCCTTAAACTCAACGTTGATTCTGATTCTGCAGAACTGGGTTGGATGTGAAAAAGTATTTGTTGTTAACATTCTTTTTTCATTCGGTTTTTCCAGTTGCGAGTCCTTTTTTTAAAGCTGGTCGTTTTATGTTCATTTTGTTTAGTTCATTTTTCGTAACAGATTTAATGTTTAGTATAGAGCTTAGAAAAAATTCGCAGTGTGAGATAGACAAGAAGTAAGGCATGTAGCAACATCAGCACGGAAAAGGGCACTCCTTTAAAGGCAAGGAAGGGCAAAAATATTTTAAGTCAAGTGATAGCGATTGCTGTATGAGTCGTAAACTTTTTGAATCAAGCCCGGGCAATGCCGGGTCATGCTGCTAGTAACTGTTATAAATTGTGTTTCTTTAAGGAATCAGGTTTGTTAATTGGACATCAACTTCAGGTAAGAAAATCGAAACCTTTGAAAATCATATCAAAGAATAGATTGTCAGATCATATCAAAACTGAACAGCTTCTTAATATAAGTAAATTAATACTTGTTATATAGATCATGAAAAACGTCGTCAAAATTATGCGATCATATAAAAAGCGTGGAATAAGTCTCGCTAAAATCTTAGAAAGTACGATATTTAATCAAAAATAAGAAGCCAAGACAGTGTACATAAATGATCCAATCTTGATCTAACAGCGTTCTTGATCTAACCTATGTTCACTTCGAAATGCGAGAAATATATCATGTTGGCGCAAAGCTGAATTAAATAACCTTTATTCTATCAGCAAGTCTTGCATTAATTCCTGGTCCATGACAATCCCTTTTCTGGAATATCAATGGACCATATTCAGAGTGATGTGCCAGAACTTGCTAAAATAAATCTGATTAAAACACATTGTAAAAGTCGTACATAATTTCACACTGCTATATTGTAGATTCCCTGTGCCTTTTCTACAAATAGTTCCATGGCAATTGTTCTGATGAGTTTCCCTCTATGGTACCTAGGCATTGTGAAATTTTCTAGCCTGGGGAACTACCTCCCTCTTTCTTGAATATTTCTGTCACGTCTGGCATGCTGTCTCTGCTATGTATTTAGAGATTCTTCATAACATCCAAAGAAGGATCTGGCATTTTCAACCGTCCTAACATAACTTAGGTCATTTTTTTAACCATACTAACGTAACTTTCCTGTTCTTTTCAATGAATATGCTCGTGGTACTTGTTCTGATGTGCATTCTTCTTTGACAACTCGGCATTAGGAATTTAACAGAGTACTAGATTGGCAGCTAGGTCTCATTATTTTACAGTTGAAATGGCTAGATATAACCGTACGTTCTATGCTAAAAGTTTCTATTTTAGTTCTTCTCTCTTATTGGGCACCCGTCCGGCTACTTGCTTTTAGTCAAATTTGATCTTCAGTAGTTTAAATACAGGGTGTTTCAAAAAATTTAATATCCTTTGAGATGTAAATATCACAGAAAGTACAGGATTAAAGCAAATGAAATTAAAAAGAATTAATGTTGAAGATCATAAGATTTATTCTTCCAAATCTGAATGAGAAATTCAAAAGCATGTGGATTATGTGAACGATTTCACAAATGTTCAATATGCGAACCGCCTGAGACACGGCATTTTTATACCTGGAAAGAAAAGATTAAAGATTAAAAGAACATAAAATACAAATAAGAAAAACACAAAAACATAAAGACATAAAAATATAAAACAAACATTAAACATAAAGATGCTATTAAAATTTGAAGTCATTTGAAGGAGATCTAACAAAGTTATTAGATTGCGAAATGATATCAAATTTTTTGA